TTATAATTATTATTCGTAATCTTTACATTTCTTGAAGTGAAAAAATACTATCAATATTGAAAAAGAGTGAAAATATTTATATTCTTGAATAGGAGTGGCAGATTATTATTGTTTTTTTTTTTTAGAGTAAGATTTCACTCTAAGGCTTGATTGCACCAACATTACTTTGATTAGCAAGGCTTAAAACTCTCTCTATCTCTTCCTTTCTTTCGACTTTAAAGAGAGAAACTGAGAGTTTTAAGCATCGCTAAAAATTAAAATACGTTGATGCAATCATCGGACCTAAGAAATTTAGACAATAAGGAATACTAATTTAACATTTTCCAATCAATACTTATATATTATAAATATGTAATATCTATATTCGACACTTATATATATAGATATGTAATACACTATGGATTAATATTTATACTCTATTATGTACTCTCATTCTTAAAAAGTTATCCATTGAGTTGTCACAATTCTTTTTAAATAAACACCTTTTTCATTGTGATTTTTAATGAAGTTATAAGTAAATTCACATTTAGAGTAGTGTTTATATCCAACTCATTTATTATAGTAATAACTCGAAAATCACATTTTTTAGCTGTATTACTTTTGAAGTAAGAGAGTACATGATAGAGTATAAATATTAATCCATAGTGTATTACATATCTATATATATAAGTGTCGAATATAGATATTACATATTTATATAAGTATTGATTGGAAAATGTTTTATATTTCATTTCAGGAAAATAGAAGTGGAAGTGTAATGTGCACAGTAAAGAACAATGAAGAGTATCAAAGAGCAAATAAGTGACTAATCCAAAAAGTAAGAATAAATTCTCTCAATTTCTTTACTTTATAGAAAATTGCTAAATTTAAAAGTTTGTAATATTTGTTCATGGGCATGGGCAATTTAAGGTTAAATAATTTTCATTTAATTTATCGAGTTTTTCTCGAATGTTGACACTACTCCGAAAAGTGATTGTAATAAACTATTAATTAATTGTCTTATCAATAAATGAATTAAGCAAATTCTAATTGAACTAGTGATTACGTACTAGTAATTTTTAACTTATTCATTAGTGCATTCCGTGTCGCAATAAAAATTTTGCAAATGTTGTATAAGAATTATATAATTTAGACAGAAATAAAAAAAA